GTTCCAGCCTCCTCTTCGCAATTACGAAGAAGTTGTTCGCAAATGCAAACCTGATAGAGGCTCTGTATTATTGGAAATGCGAACCAGACCTCGAAATTGCGAGGTCTGAGGCATGTGCACCAGAACCAGCAAAGTTCTGACTCTTTCAACACTCTGCCACTCATTCAAAACTCACCCGAGCCCTCGGGGCTCCAAACCAAACGTGCACACAAGTCCAAAAATATCATACGAACTCGCTCGTGCAATCAAAACACCAAAATAACACTTAGAACTACGAATCAGATACCAAAAAGAATAAAAAATTTAATGAAACTTAAGAACATGCAATTTTTCAAGTGGACATCTGAATCACGTAAAATCAACTCCGTTTTGTACCAAATTTTGCAGACAAGTTATAAATACTGTAATAAATTTATACCAAGTTCCGGAATTGAAATTTGAATCCAATAGCAATAAAGTCAACTTATGGTCAAACTTAGGAATTCTTTAAAGTTTTAAATTTCTAATTTTCCATAAATTACGTTAATTCAAGGTAGGGACTTTCGAATTCGATTCCGGGCATACGCCCGAGCTCCCAATCACGATACAGATCCACCGAAATCGTCAAAATACAGTTCCGGGTCTGTTTATACAAAACGTTGACTGTAGTCAACTCAAATGAATTTTAAGGCACGATTTCACATTTTCATCAATTTTCTCATAAAAAACTTTCAAAAAAGGATGTCGACTGTGCATGCAAATTGAGGAACGCTAAACGGAGCTATACGAGGTCTCAGAATGCAAAAATGAAGGGTAAAACTATAAATGACCTATCGGGTCATCAAAAAAAAATCCTTAAGTTTTTTCCTGAGCTCGGGGGTTAGTCCCGTGACGAGGTATGCCTTTCGATCCGGTAGGTGCTCCACCAATATAACCTGCTCTAACTCCACGATCGTCGATTTGGTGGTGTCGGTGTCATCGATCGCTATAAAAGATCTCGGGACGCCGTAATCATCCTTATCACCTGCTCCGTGCTCCTTCAGTTTTTTCGGATCGGTTGAGGCCGGTATCATTGATTGCTATTTAGTTTCTTTTTTTTTGGTCGGTTCCATGCTTTTTGATGTCTAAACTGCGGGCACCGGGATTACTTCATCGACAACGAACATTTCTTTTGTGGCTGGCTATTCCCCGTAGACTATTTTGACTCCTCCCGGAGTGGGAAATTTCAGTGCTTGATGTAAGGTTGAAGGCACCGCTCTCATGTTGTGAACCCATGGCCTTCCGAACAAAGTGTTGTACCTTATATCCCCTTCTATCACGTAGAACTTAGTTTCTTGGATGGTCTCGGCAGTGTTTACCGGTAAAGTTATCTCACCCTTTATGGTTTCGCACGCCATGTTGAATCCGTTCAATACCCGGACCGCCGGTATGATTTGGTCATGCAACCCCAGTTGTTCTACAACCCTCAATCGGATGATGTTGGTCGAGGTACCTGGATCAATCAACATGCGTTTAACCTAAGATTTATTGATAAGTACGAATATTACCAGTGCATCGTTGTGAGGCTGGATGATGCCCTCGGCGTCTTTATTTCTGAACGAGATGGCCCCTTCCGGGACGTAATCCCGGGTGCATTTTTCCCTCATGATGGAAACTTTGGTGCATTTTATCATTGGCCATTGGGGGACATCCACTCCCCAATGATCATGTTGATCACATGCTGGGGCTCCTCTTGTTCGACCTGTTTGTTGGCGTCCCTGTTTCTGAAGTAGTTTTTGGCTCGCTTGCTTTGGAATTCCTGAAGGTGTCCATTGTTGAACAATCGATCTACTTCTTCTCTTAGCTATCGACAATCTTCGGTCCTATGACTGTGAGTACTGTGGTATTTACACACCAAGCTATGATCTCTCTGGGCATGATCAAACTGCAGTGGTTTTGGACACTTGGTCTCTTTGATGCGTCCTATGGCTGACACTATACTTGCAGCGTTTGCGTTGAAATTATACTCCAATAATCCCCGTGCTTCCCTACTCCCGAGCGACCTGTCAAACCCGCTCTTACCCATCAGGCCCCGACTGCTTGGTCCTTGATCATTTCTCTTGTCGTTCTTTGTTGGGTAGCGCCCAGATCCGTTTCCCCTCGTATCCGCACCATACGACTGGTATGGATCACGGACCGACCTTGGCTCCTGATCGATGATTCTCTTAGACCCGTCATTGGTTCTGTTGGGATAAATAGACCCCGAAGTGGCCTCGAGTTGGTCGTCCTCGACTCTGATCTTTGATTGATACCTGTTGTGGACTTCGGCCCAGGTGACCGCCGGGTACTCTACCAAGTTTGCTTTAACTGCTGAGAAGCCACGGATCTTTGGGGGTTGAGCCCTTGAATAAATGCCTGAACGGCCCAATCATCTGCGATCGGGGGCAGATCCATTCGTTCCATTTGGAACCTCAACACAAACTCCCTAAGAATCTTGTTATCCCTCTACTTGACCTTGAAAAGGTCCGAATTTCTCGTCTCGACCTTGATGGCGCCCGCATGGGCCTTTACGAAAGCATCTGCAAGCATAGCAAATGAGTCAATAGAATTTGGAGGCAAGTTGTGATACCATACCATTTCTCCCTTGGACAAGGTTTTCCCAAATATTTTTAGCAACACCGACTCAATCTCGTCGTCTTCCAGGTCATTCCCCTTGATGCGCATGTATAGGAGGTTACATGCTCATTTGGATCTGTGGTCCCATACTTGGGAATGTCGGGCATTCGAAACCTCTTTGGGATCGGCTTCGGTGCCGCGCTCATGGGGGAAAGGCTTCTGAATGAACCTTTTGGAATCCGGCCCTTTCAATATCAGTGGTGCTCCCGGGATCTGATCGATCCTGGAGTTATAAGTTTCAACCTTCTTGTCGTTGGCCTCTATCTTTTTCTCGCCAGACTCCACCCGTTTTGTCAACGCTTCGAGCATCTTTATTACCTCGGAAGTTTCCCCGGGCCCGAATTCTCCCGGTTCCATGACAACTTGTTCATCCCTTCGAGTATTTTCCCTGGTTCGCTCGGGCTCCACCCTGTTAGGGGCGTGGCTCTAGTTCTGTAACTGCGCTATTGTCGCTTGCTGAGCTTGCAACATTTCAAAAATAAGCTGCAAGCTCACCCCATCACCTTCACCTTCGGGCGCCTCTCGAGCCGATGGTCGGGGTGCCCCGTGAACGCTGTTTTTGGGATCAGTTGGTAGATTGATGTTGATGGCAACCTGTGAGTTAGCATCGACCGGGTTGGCGGCTGGGACACTATTGGGATCAACATGGGGCACATCATTGCCAGGTATCACATTACTATTTTCGTCATGGTGGCCTGACTCAGCGTCAACGTTCAAATGGGCCGACTGAGAATTTGACATCCTTGGACTAACCTTTGGAATCAAAACATTAAAGAACAAACATAAAACAGGGTGTGTTATGGAGATTCGTATCAAATCACCACTATTATCCTTAACCCCACAGTGGGCGCCAAACTGTTTACCCTTAAAAATAAGTAACAATTAAATTTATATGCGATTTAAAGAATACGTGATTTAATTCAATACGAATGATCTAAGAACAATATATAATTAAATTAAAGAGAGAATGAACGGACAAACCAATCGCTATGTAACAATCAGGCCTGGCCTTAAGTTGAACACTGAAAATCAGTCTCGATCGAGTCCTCGATATGAGCTCGTTTACAATCAAAGAAGAGAATAACCGAAGAACACTTTGAATAATAGTTAGAAGACAAAAATGAACTTTTATTGCTTTGATATGCGTGTCAATAATGTGTTAAAAATAAAAGAATTCTCCCCTTTATATAGTAGGGGAATTTTAGTCCTAATACAAGTCTAAATAAGGTAAAAATCTTCTTTTTCCGGTAAATGCCAATCCGCAGTTGATATCGGATGGGATCCGTGTTGTAATTCCGGTTGAGGGTGAATATTACGGCTCCCCACTTATCACGACCAACTGTTCCTCCTTTTTCCGTGGTCTCGAAATTTTACTTGGTCCGAGTCCGTTATTTTGTCGTGCCCGATCCTAGATATATCGTTCACTCCTCCCGAGTTCCGATACGAGGGATCCTTCGGCCTTGCTTGTAGTTGCGTCGAACCGTGCTTCCCTCTCGTTCCCTTATCGGGGAATCGGAGAAAACTTTGCCCCCGATTTTACCCGTACACAGAGTCAAAGTCAGATTTTTGTAGATTTGGAATTTTGTATCATATTAAAAACTCTGGCTTGAGCATATCAGATTAGCGCTTTATTGAAGAAGATCTTTTTTTATGCAAAATTGTTGGTAAATGGGAGGCTGATACAGGGTAAAGTTGGCGTAACTCATGCAGTGTCCTCATATTAGAAAACAAAATCAGTAACTAAATAATCAATTAATGTTTCCATTTTTCTGTTAGTTTGACAACATCAGCTTTTGATTAACGGATACTTCTTATTTAAGATCCCTTACTGTTAATTCTTTAGTACTACTAAGTTAGTATCAACAAAAACATTCTCTGTTTTCATTGACTGAATCCATAATGACCACCAGAAACCAATAGTTAAGATTTGGTTAAGCATTGTTACATAGGCTCCTATGTAAACATGTTTATAGTTTCAAGTTATCAAATCCTTCCAACTTTAACTATAAATAACTGAGTAAGCTAAGGTGTTTGATTAGATATGAATCTACACCTACCGCCCTAATGTTAATAAATGAGAATTTTAATGTTTTCTTTTCTGGGGATAATGGAATATCAACATAGGCCCAATTGTTTGTATAAATAACTTTGTGAATTTCTTTAGTAACCTATTAAAGACTCCTACAAGCTTTTAAGTTTAACAGCAATCAGTAAAACCTTCTTTTACAGGAAACTAGAGACCATGATATAGCCGATTTCTTGAGTACTGATTTGAAATACTTTTTCATGCTTTGTCTTCTAAGTAAGTAGCCTAATNATATGCTTTCAATGTGAAAACAGTAAAATTGCCAGTTTCTTCTGTTCTTTAGCATGGTTAATTTGTTTAAAAAATTGAGTCAACTTGAAAGAAATACTATCGCTGTTTTAATTACCAAGCGATTTCTTTTCATCTTTTTGTTTCAATTGAGAATTTTACCTACTCTCCTTGCTCACAACAAACCTGCTGAAGTGGACCAAACAAGCATATCTCATGAATCACTCACATCTTTATTACATTTGCTTGACACATATATTATAAAATATGTATACAAGGAATTTTTGAGATCAAGTGTAGTTGTTTAAAGAACGTTTATCTTGTTATTTTTTTCTTCTCATTGCAGCCAACTCGACAACCATGTCGCCGAGGTTTATCTGGATCAGAATCACTTGATTCAAGGAAAAGGCCTCTGAGACATCTCCTTCTGATTGTTCTAGCTGGTGTAACATTGACTTCTGCCTTGTGTGCATCAAACAGACTTGAATGTACAGGTTCTGAAGGGATCGACATGTGTACACCTGGATCTCTTTCTGTTATGGAACTATTAAATACAATAGAGTTGTTGATTCCCTGTACATTGCAATTAATGTATGCAGCTATGGTTTGATCTTCCTTAGTCTTTGAATCTTTTGGACTTCCCTCCCCATCTGTGGTTGTGTCAGCACTTTCATCAGGGTTGATTTTGTATCCTCTGTGAATGTGGATTCGCCCTCCTTTTGTGGATGAATCGGAGCCAAGTTGCATAGATGCTCCTCTATTATCACCTGCAAGAGTGATCACATTCACTGGCGTTTTTCCGGTTTTTTGCGTGTCATCTCCAACTGCCACTCTATTAAGAACCTTTGAGATGTTATCTTTGATCTCTTTGTGAATGGGAATATGTGCTTCATTGGATACTACAGTTTTATGACTAGAACCACTGACCACAGTTTTGTTTCTTGGCTGAGTTGTAGTTGTTCTTGTCTGCCTTCCATTAGATCCAGAGTTTTTCAAAACCTGATCTTTGCTAGAACCCTCTTGCTTCGATTGAACTTCAGGGGTTCTTTCTCCAGCACCATAGTCTTTACGTCTAGATTCTTGCACTACTTCTTTGGTTTCCTGATTGTTGGTATCTGACTCTTTGAGCATTTTAGGTTCACCACTGATACTGGAAGAATCTGATTTCTCAGATGGACCTTTTGTAATGCCTGTTATAGTGGATTTTGGCACTGATTCTTCTGAAGGTTGCATTGCCTTGTCTGTGAACCTTATTTTTGCTTCAGAGTCCGCATCTGACTTGGTTTCTTTCTTGGTTCGAAGCTCCATTTGTTCTGTTGCTTCTTTATCTGCTTCTATGGATTTGGAAGAAGGCTTTGAAATCCCATGCAATGATTGTGGTGGCGATGTTGGCAGAGTAGTTTCCTGATTCTTTTCATGCATTTGAGATTTCACAACGGATGGAGAGTTTGAAGACTCCTGGCCTGCTTTGGATGAAAGGACGTGGGGAGCCTTGCGTGTTGGGGAGGATGTTGGAGTCATAGCTGGTGATTGAGGAGCTGAGCGAGATGGAGATTGGGATTGAGATGCACGAGACCTATTTGCTGCACCAGATGGTGAAGCTGGTTGAGATGTATTACGGGACTTGTTAGTTGCTTGAGATGGTGAGGAAGGTTGAGACTCGTTCTTAGATGCCCGATTCTTGGGAGAGGGAGCTGCCCCTGCGGGCCTAAATGGTGGCCTCTGAGCAACCTTTGGTGTAGTAGGGTTACTGGTGGTGGTTTGAGACGTAGGCCGAGCTGGAGAATTGGTGGAGGTAGAGCTCATATTTGAGGCTTGGGTAGGGGTTCGGGTTTCAGTCGAAGAGCCAGCAGTGGTAGGAGTAGCAGGTGATTGGCTTGTGCTTGGGGTGGAGGATTCGATAGGACGAGGTGGAGAGATAGATGGTGTTGGAGTTGTGCTGGTTTTGGTGTTGGGCAGCTGATTATTGTCCAGAGTTCCAGCTTTAGTTGGTGAAGTAGGAATTGAAGGAGTGGCGTTTCTCGTGGGGTTGGGTGGCTGGTTGTTGGTTGGGGTTTCAGCTCTGGACAGATTGTTTGCGCTGGTCCATGCAGCTGGCTGTGACCCTGCTGCTGGTCGAGTTGCCGGAGAGGGAGCCGTGCCAGCATTGGGTCGAGTAGATGGTTGGGTTGCTGGTGCTGGAGGTGGAGGTGGAGGTGGAGGTGGTTCATCTCGAGACCAAGGAAGGCGAAAGCGAAACGATGACCTCCGTGCTGCCATTTAACAAGGATGTTGTGTGAAGGAAATGAATATTTGCAATACTTTGATTATCTGGTTTTGATTCGAAATGAGCGTTGAAACTAATATAAATAGGTTTCCTTTTGATACCTTGGAACATTTCTGACATTGCTTTGCTTCTTTTCCCCTCTCAAAGAATAACCGTTTTCTGGGAAGTCTATTGTGAAAGTTGCTTCCTTTAAGAGGTTTAGCTTTTAAAGTATACTTTCTAACCGTTTGGCCAATGTCCAACTCTATAATATTATAAAGAATTTCAAAATTTTACTCCAACACATTTTCTCGCTTCATATTCTTGTCCTGGTGTAAGTTGAATTGCACAACAATGCGGCAAGCAAAACACACTTGCCTAAGACAACCACTCTTACAATAGGGCAAACCATATTTCCTTGCCAAAGATCATTATAAAAGAGGTTGAGAAAAAAGAAAAAGGAAAAAAGAAAACAAGACAAGAAAAACCACAAAAAAGTTATGTTCAGCAATATGCTATCAGTTGTCTAATGCCTCTCCAAGAAGAAAAGCATAAAACAAAATTCAGAGGAAGAGCTCATCATTCTCTCTTTTCTGACCTAGTTGTTTAAGCAAAGAATGTAACCTACAACAACCAACGAAGGGAGAACATTCTTCCTAGGGAATCTCTCAAGTAGTACAGATAATCTTTCATCACCAGACCAAACTACAGTGCATTTGCATGCGTAACTGCTTTCACACATATGCCATTTATTAACATTCATTCTGCCGCACAAATAGTGCTTGCAGAATGAAGAGGGTACCATTTAGTTAAATGGAAGACTCTTACTCTCCGCTAGAAACAGGGAGGCTTGGGAATCAAAAACTTGAGGAAACATAACCAAAGCCTCCTCATCAAATGCCTGTGGAGATATACTAATGAAGAACATTCGTTATGGAGGATGGTAATTAAAAACAAATATGGAGAGGAGGGGCCTTGGAAAACAAAAAAAGTAACCTCTCCATATGGGGTAAGTGTTTGGAAGGCAATTAGAGCTCTTTGGCAAATTTTCAGCAACAAAATCAGCTTTAGAGTGGGGAATGGGCAGAACACCTCTTTTTGGGAAGACAACTGGTTGGGGCATGAGCCTTTGAAAACAATGTATCCTGATATTTTTTTCATAAATCAGCAGCAGAAGGCCACTATCTATGATGTTTGGTCAGCTCAAGGATGGAATCTCACTTATAGAAGATTTTTGAATGATTGGGAGATCACTAGAATCACAGACTTCTACAACACACTCAATCATTTTACAGGGGTGAATCTGAATGCTGGTGAGGCATGGTGGCTGAGGCACAGTCTGTTAAATCTTCTTATCAGGTGCTTAATCAAACAAACATGATGACTGATCTTTGGCCATGGAAACACATATGGAAAGCCAAAATCCCTTACAAAGTGGCATGTTTTGTTTGGTTGGTAGTTAAACATACCTGTTTAACACAGGACAATTTAATGAAAAAAGGTGTGCAGTTGTGCTCAAGATGTCATCTATGTGGAAGAAAAGCAGAAACTAATAGTCATTTGTTCTTACACTGCACCGTGACTGTTCAAATTTGGAACATATTCCTAGCATTAACAGGGATACACTCGGGGGCGGATCTATATACACGGTTCGGGGTGGTACGCCACCCGCAAGTTTCGACAAAAACCTTATGTATATATGTAAATATGTATAAGAAATAGAATATATATATTTAAAGTGCCACCCGTAGAACAAAAGTGGCAAAGGTGCCAGTGGCAAGGGTCTGCCTTTTCGTTCAGCAGGGCAAGAGTTCGAATCCAGGCGGGAGCAAATAAATTTTTGGCTTACATTCAGTTGCAATTTAAGAAAATTAAGTACACTACACATCACACTCTTCTATATTTTATAGTAAATGTTTTACTTTTCTGTTTGTTTGTTTAAGAAAATTAAGTACACTACACGGCACACTCTTCTATATTTTATAGTAAATGTTTTACTTTTCTGTTTGTTTGTTTGTTTAGGTATAAATAAATAAGATAAAATAAAAATAAAAGTACTCTTTATAGAATATTCTCTTATAATTAAAGGTAAAACAATGTCCCAATTCCCCAAGTCCATTTTTTCCTTTCCCTTTCTCCGATTCTTGCTGCTTCAGCCTTCATTCACACCACTGCTTCTACTTCTTGCTTCTCTGTTAGACTGTTACTGTAAGCATTTATTTTGCTTTACCTTTGCGGATGCTTGATGCTTCACACATTCATTGCTCACTAGTCATTGCACTACGCCCACCATTGTAAAGTTTCCTCAATCCTCACCTCCTCATGTTTATTTCTTAACCCTATGTGGCTATTTTTTTCCCATCAAATATATGTTCTTGCTATATTTTTATTTTGTATTTAGTTGGATATTAGTGTTCTTGCTAAACTTGATTGTCACTATTTTGATTTTTTTTGTTATGTATTTCTTTGGTTGTGTTTGAAAATCAAATGTCTCTTAAATGGTTTCACTGTAGAATTTAAAATAACTAAACTTATTGATGGTATGACCTGGTAGAAATTGTTCTATATTTCTCACTAGAATGAACTTCTATTTTATAGGAATTGATTGAGATTGATAAATTTGTCACGAGGTTGGACCATTCTCGACCAAGTCCTAGTTGTCAATCCTTGATCCAAGCGAATGCCAATCATTCCTATCTTATAAATAAACTCGATTTGTGATCACTTAAAGGCGATCCAGGAGAAAGAATACATATCGCTGACTATAACCCTAGAATACGAGATGAAGTAAGGAAACATTACAATCAACAAGGTCCTTGTCAACCTTCCAAGCATCAATTTCCCAAAACTCAAATAGGAGGAAGAATGCTTCAATTTGTTCCAAGTTGGTTCAATGGTCAATTTTTTAAATGGTTGGAGTATAGTGTGAAGAAAGATGCGGCATTTTGCTTATGTTGTTATTTGTTCAAAAATGAATTTATTCATGGAAGTACGGGTGAATTTTATACTAAAAATGATTTTAGGGCTTGGAATAAGGGTCTTAAAAGATTGTGTTTACATGTTGGTGATGTTAATAGGGTCCATGATAAATGTTTCAAGAAGATACTAGATTTATCAAATCATCATCAATCAATTCAAGTTATTTTTTATAAGCACTCCGAGAAATTAAAAAGTGAGTATCGAATGCGTTTAGAAGCATCAATTGGTGTGGCAAGACTTCTATTGTTGTATGGATTACCTTTTAGGGACCATGACGAAAGTGAATCTTCAACAAATCAAGGCCTCTTTCTAAGATTCTTATGATGGCATGGGGACAAGCATCTAGATGTGGGAAAAGTAATATTAGAAAATGCTCCACAAAATGATACTTTGACTTGCCCTATGATCCAAAAGGATATTATCAATGCTTGTGCAAAAGAAATATTAAAGGCTATAATTGGAGACTTGAATGGAGATTATTTTGGTATATTAGTTGATGAGTCCAAAGATATCTCACACAAAGAACAAATGGCTCTTGTTTTGCGTTATGTTAATAAAAATGGTGAAGTGGTAGAGTGATTTGTTGGTCTTGTCTATGTTAGTGATACATCGGCATGCTCATTGAAGGAAGCAATCTACTCTTTGCTTTCGGACCACTTACTAAGTCCGTCTCAAATACGTGGACAAGGTTATGATGGAGCTAGTAACATGAGGGGAGAGATAAGTGGGCTTAAGACTTTGATTATGAAAAACAGCTCATCGGCATATTACATACATTGTTTTGCTCATCAATTGCAATTAACACTTGTAGCTATGTCTAAAAAATATTTGGATGTCGAAGACTTCTTTTGTCATGTTACTAATGTATTGAATGTCATTGGAGTATCTTTTAAGCGCAGAGATTTGCTTCGCCATCTTCAAGCTGAAAAACTGGAGCAATTACTTGAGTCCAGTGAAATTCAGACCGGGCGAGGACTAAATCAAGAACGCGGGCTTCAAAGACCAGGTGATACTCGTTGGGGATCATATTTCAAAACATTAGATAACGTTATTGTTATTTTCTCATCTATTATTCGTGTACTTGAAGTGATTGAACATGAACGTTCCACCTCAAATGAGAGAAATCAAGCAAAATATCTTTTGAGTGAGATAATAACATTCAAATTTGTTTTTATGCTTCACTTGATGTTGAAAGTTTTGGTAATGTCAAATGAGTTGAACAAGATCCTACAAAAGAGAGATCAAGATATTGTTAATGCCGTGGAGTTTCTTAATATTAAAAAGAAAAGATTGCAAGATATGAGGGAAACTGGATGGGAATCTTTGCTAGATGATGTTTTCTCATTTTGTCATATGCATGATATTATGATTCCCAAGATGGATGAATCCTATTTTCCTGAAAAGTCGAAGCGTAAGTCTTCTGGTATTTGTTATTCACACCACTTGTGTGTTGATATCTTTTATGTTGTAATTGATGTGCAACTTCAAGAGCTTAATGACCGTTTTGATGTAGTGAGTAGCGATTTGCTTCTTAGGATGGCTAGTTTGAATTCAGCCAATTCTTTTGCTAATTTTGATAAAGGTAGAATAATGACTTTAGCAAAATGTTACCCAAATGAGTTTGATGAAGTACACATTCGAGACTTGAGTTATCAACTAGATACTTTCATAATTCATATGCGAGTTGGCAATCCCAAGTTCTCCAACTTGCAAGGAATTAGTGATTTGGCAAAAGCATTGGTTGAGACAAATCTTGTGGAGACTAATTCGTATGTTTATTTACTTGTGAAGTTAACTCTGATTTTACATGTTGCTACCGCAACTGTGGAGAGAGCATTCTCATCCATGAAGCAGATAAAGAATGAAGAGAGGAACAACATGGNGTTTAATTTATTACATAGAGCGTGATGTATTTACAAATGTAAGTAATGATGTCATTATTGATCGTTTTCAAAATATGAAAGCTCGTCGAGGACAATTGTAAATTGATTGTATATGATATTAAAAATGTTGTTGGAAGTTTTATGCTTTGCGTCAATTAGTTATAGTTATTATATTTTCTTTCGTTTGATCTATTTGTCTATATACCCCGAAGTCCCGAATCGACGCTCGAGTTGATCACATCGATTAGGTCGGCACCCATAACCCCT